GCCATTGGGTGGTGGTAATTTCTCTTCTCATTTGGTTTCAATCTCTCACCTGTATAGTCTGTAACCTATAAGCTAAATTGTAAGTTAACCACTCCTGATGTAAAATTAAGGACAGTCTTTACATAAAATAATGGAGAAACAGAGAAGAAATAGGAACAATTAGTGAATATATAGAAATATATAAATACATATATAAAAATAAAATAGAATACAAATAAGGAAAAAAATAGGCACAGTTGTTATGGGTCTTATTTCTGTAACTCATCCTATGGTTGTGTGTTAGGGCAACTGGTTACCAATTTGGAAAACATAAAACATTAGATGTGTACTTTATATTTACATCAAAATAAATTCCAGATATATTAACATTTTTAGTGTAAAATATAAAACCATGAGTAATAGAGGAAAAGAGGTGAGACTCTTTGCATACTTTGGGGAATGAGGAGATTATTAGGTATGGCACCTGAGGTAGGCATCCATTGGCTTGTCTGTCAACAAATCCCCTCTTCTGAAGAACCTCCCCCCCACCCCTTTCCTCCATCACGGGCATGTGGTTTGAATAGGAGATATCTTCTCCTTATGTGAATTCATCTTGCCATGGTGGCTGGGCTAGAGGTGATCTCCTTATTCAAGCTGGGCTAATCACTCCCCTGAGCCACTTTGTGATTCTCTGAACCCCCTCTCTGTTCATGAAAATGATGAGATGTGTGTGCTGGCACTGCCTTTGGAAATGAATCTCACCTTTTGGATATAGGCATTGGTGAGAAAGTAAAGTTGACAAAGAGAGAAAAGCAAGTTGATAAGCAAAGAGGTGGCGTCTAGTCCCTGATTTCTGTAATGCTAGATTACACCCCTGTCCTTTCTGGTTACATGAATGAATTCTCATTTTTGCCTGAGCTTATTTTAGCTCAATTTCTATCACTTACAACCCAAAGTTCCAATTCAAATAATATCAGAAACAGGAACCATTAAAAAATCATAGATTTAAAAAAATTAAAATCCTGCTAAAACCAGTCTTTTTTTTTTTAAAGATTTTTATTGGGGAATTGGGAGAAGGGGAACAGACAAGTTGCTATCCTTTTGTTCTTCAGTCTAGTTGTGGAGGACATTGCTTCACTGGCCCAAGTTGGCACCATCATTGCACTCTTCCCGGGCGAGGCAGATCAGTCGCCGGCTTCTGGATGGCCGCTCACTGCGGCTGCTTGCCGCTCACGCTGGCTGCTGGCTACACACGGTAGCCCATGGCAACCCACTGCCACAGGGGCTGCAACCTACGCCATCGCCGGTGACTCATGACAGCCCAGCTCCAGGTTGAGCTGTCGTTCAGCATCTTAGCTGTAGAGGGCAGTGTCACTAGCCCTCATATGTGGGATCCAAACCAGGGCCCTCTGGCATCCCAAGCCAGCTCTTAACCATCGCGCCACTCAGCCGGCCCAAAACCAGTCTTTTTTAAGCTGAGCCATCCTGCCACCTGTTGGCAGCTCAGCGGCTGCTCAGCTCGGGCCGGGAATCCAACCGCTGTTGCTCAGAGCTCAAATTCTTGAGCGAGCTCTTAACTAACTGAGCCACTCGGCTGGCCCTAAAACCAGTTTTTTAAAAAGAAAAAAAAATATCTCTTACAAAATTAAAAGACAAGTGAGAAAAATTAACAACACATGTTACGGTTGTTTTTGGCTCTTTTCCCTCATGGTACCAATATGGCTGCCACAGCTCCAGTTATCTAGTCCTCATACTATATCCAGAGGATGGAAAAGGGACTGAGCTGTCTTCTGTCTTCTTTTAAGAGCAAGGAAAATCTCATAACTCTTTGCCCCTGCCACCCATTCCCATAGACTTTCACATCCCTTTAGCAAGAAGAGCATCATGTATCCATGCCAAGAACCATCAGAGCCTAGAAGATGGAATTATCACAATTGGCTAATCCTTATGAAGATTCACTACCTGGGATATGGTACCTGTGAGCTGTATGGGCAGCGAGAACCTAAACAAAATCAGGGCTCTGACAGAAGGGACAAATTAGGATAGCTGAGATCCTAGGGACAGTAGGGGCAGACATTTGAGTAGACTAACCAACAGGTTCTGCCACACTAGACAAGAAACTTAAATATCTAGAACACTCTTGTCTGAGATACTGCCTATTTCATGGAATGACTTAAGAGAGCGGTGAACTCCTCTGAAGCTTCACCATATACCAGGCATATTGTGCTCATTCAAAGCATAAAAATTAATGTCAAATGGAGCAAAGTTCAAGTCTCAACTCCACCACTAACCATTTATGTGTTTGGGGGCCTTTAAATAACCTCATTAAGCCTTCAGTTTCTTCATTTGTAAAAGGATAATATTAATAATTGATAATTATTGATAATAACTGATAATATTGATAATTATACTAACCTCATAAAGTCTTTGTGAGAGTTAAATGACAATGTATGTAAAGTACATAGCAGAGTGCTTTGCATACAGTAAACATTCAATCATGTTACCTATCATTATTATTATTATTATTATTATTATTATTATTATTATTATTATCTTAGTTAGAAGAGGAAGTAATGGAGTTTAGATCCATACTGGAGAAAAGAGACAAGTAAATAATTAAGTAAGACCATTTCATAGGTGCTATGAGAAAAGCAAAACATCTTTGTGCATAATCATTAAAGACATTTCTGATTTTTTCCCAAGGATAGAATCCAAGAAATGAGATTGCTGGTCTGACAAATAGTCAGAGGGTATATTGGAAAGAGTGCTGGTCACCCCAAGGTTCTAGATCTGTTGGCAAACAAGATCAGCTAATAAGATCCGGTGGCATCCACCCAAGAGTTTTAAAAGAACTCAAAGGTAAAAGTGTTGAAAGTACCACTAAATGTAATGATTTACTATGACAAAGAGACCCTGCACGTAAGGACTTGGAGGCTGCCCTGAGCAAATACAAGTTACTGAAGGCCACTCTGAAAACGGCTCCCAATTTGACTGCTGTGTTGTAAAAGCTGGTGGAGCTAATACTGAAGAGATGCAGCTCTGAATGTGTCACCGACACCAGGCACAAGGGACCTTGGGGTGTCTTCTCATGTGTCTAGTGATTTTTTCATTGTCCTCGGGGTTTTCTCTGTGGGAGCCAGTTGAGCCCTGCGTTTATAATTAGAGTCTGTATTTGATTCAGTTTTGTACCCAGCAACATTAATAAGTCAGGATCACTGTAAACTAAATTTAGCTAGAGATCTTTCAGATCACTAGCATGATTTCAGGCCCCACACCTTTGTGAGGGTGGCCTTGTGGTTAGGAATTTTCCAATGCCCCAGTAGCTACATATCCCCATCATCTTATTTGGTGTGGATTTTATTCTTATTCACCCTTCAGAGTGTTGTTCTTTGAGATTCTGAGCTTTAGGCAGAGGTCTCAGGTCCCCTGCATGTGTGGTCTGTTAAAGAGCAGACACTTCAGGGAAAAGTCTCTCTAGGGTGTGCTTATCCCTATTGGATTAGTGCTTTCTTGTTATTTCTAGCTTCCAAGGAATGCACTTACTTTCCCACCAGCTCATTCATGCATTAAAAAAGATGCCTTTTGCATAGAACCCACCATTTTTCAGTGTGCTACATGGGGAGGTTTCTCTGGTCATCCTGTCTGCCATATGGTCAAAAGTAGAAGTCCAAAAAGATATATATTTAAGGCTTATAAGTCTCTAAAATTATAGATGGCATGGCTGGAGTATGACAGGCTTAATCATTAAATCTTGGAACACTAGAATGAAGAAGCTCTAGCAGAGTACAAAGGGCAAAAGACCTGGACATACTGCTTTATAGAGAAGATAGTGAGTTTATGGATCTTACTCCAGTGGGATAAGCTGGAGAAGTGTGGCCCTCAGCGAGTGCTTGCTAAATAAATGGCGGGCAGGTCAGGGCAGAGCTGGATGAACTTTTTAGTTGGTTGAATTTTCCAACCCAAGTTGTATTAATGAATTCACATTAACTTTGAATGCATTCTCCAGAGTCAGCTACTACCGGGTTCTGTCTAGTTTCCTGTTCAACAAGATCCTCTTATATGTGTTTTGTATGACCTGTTTCCTGTTTTATCAATGTTATATATAAGAATGTTGGTCACATAAAATTAGATTTATGCATGACCCTAAGCTAAAGGTGTTAACCAGTACGTTGAACGTAGAAAAACAATCCTTGTCTTTCCTCCACACTCCCACTTCCTCCAAAAACCCACAAATAGGGAATGGATGAGTTAAAATGTAATAGGGCCAAATGTTCTGTGTGCAGGTGGAAAGGTTTACAAAACATCCCTGTGGCTACCATCCAATATGGTACATCAGTCTGGAAAAAACAAGTATGAAAGGACTGGATGTGGAAGATGTGGCTTTTATTTTTTTATTTATTTATTTTTTTTAAAGATTTTTATTGGGGGAATTGGGGGAATGGGAACAGTGCTGGGGAATTGGGGGAAGGGGAACAGACAAGTTGCTGTCATCTTGTTCTTCAATCTAGTTGTGGAGGACGTTGCTTCACTGACCCAAGTTGGCACCATCATTGCGCTCTTCCCGGGTGAGGCAGATCAGTCGCCGGCTTCTGGACGGCCGCTCACTGCGGCTGCTGGCCGCTCACGCT